CCCCAATATGCCTATGATCTTCATCATGTTACAATATTCTGTCTGACAGTGTTTCACTGCTATTTGTAAGGTTTTCAGTGACTAAATATTAAGCAGTAGTCTGTCTTAGTCTGGAAGCTCATCTGAAACTTGTCCACCATGGTTGATCCTGCAGGTATTTAAAATACCAGTAGCATAGCTTCCAGAATCACAGCAAAAAGCAAGCCACCACAGTACAACAAACTGATAAACAACTCAATGCAGGTTGACCTTAATGATGTGGATGGAGCAAAGCTTTTGGGACCTTTATTTGCTGATGGGGCATAACTCAAAATAAAAAGAAACAAACAACCATTAGTAATAAAAACTTGGAATCCAGAAAAATTGGAAGTCATAAAAAATGAAATGGAAGACATAAAGATCCATATCCTAGGCATTAGTGAGCTGAATTGGACTGATATTAGCCATTTTGAAACCAACAATCATATGGTTTACTTTGCCAGGAGCAACAATGTGTAGAGGAACAACAATGTGAAAAGACAACATCACATCCATCATCAAAAAGAGAATTTCAAGATCTATCTTGAAATACAATACTGTCTGTGATAGGATAATAGCCAAATGATTACAAAGAAGACCAGTTAATATCATTATACATTCAAATTTACTCACCAACCACTAAAGCCAATGATGCTGAAATTGAAGAATTCTATGACTTTTTCAGTCTGAAATTGATCAAACATGCAATCAAGATGTATTGATAATTACTGGTGACTGAAATGTGGAAGGTGGAAATAAAGAGGAAGGATTGGTAGTTGAAAAATATGGGCTTGATAGAAATGATGCTGGAGATCACATGATAGAATTTTGTAACACAAATGACTTATTCATTGCAAATACCCTTTCTCAATAACATAAAAGGTGACTCTACATCTGGACTGCACCAGATAAAACACAGAGGAATCAAATTAACTACATCTGTGGGAAGAGATGATCAAGAAGCTCAGCATCATCAGCTAAAACAAGGCTAGGAGCAGACCATCAGTTGCTTATATACAAGTTCAGGTTGAAGCTGAAGAAAATGAAAACAAGTCCATGAGAGCCAAAATATGATCTTGAGTATATCCCACCTGACTTTAGAGATCTTTGATGCATTAGACACTAAAGACCAAAGACCAATGGAGTTGTGGGATGACATCAAAAACATCATACATGAAGAAAACAAAAGGTCACTTAAAACACAGGAAAGAAAAAAAAAATCAAATGCTTTTGAACACAGAAAAGCTACATCAACTGGAAGAAATTATGAAGTAAGAGCTGGACAGAAAATTTCAAAGGGCAGCTTAAGAAAACAAAGTAAAGTATTAAATAAAATGTGTAAAGTTGGAGGGGGAGAGAAAGGAATAGCGAAAAGCATCACCATAGAAAGCTTGTATGTCTGTCTTCTGCCTATAACTGATTGGAATACCTAAAATGAGGCTACAACGTGCCCAGTGAAGGAGGCTTCCTGCGGAGCCTCTGCAATACATAAGACTATAGGTGGAAGCCTGAACCACATCCAGATCTCCAGAGATGGGAAATTCCC